CTATAGCTCCACATCACAACAACAGTTGTCTCACAGCTTTCCAAACAGAGCAGGTCAGACCTACTCTGAAGTTAATTACAGAAACCCAACAATTCCCACCATGAGCAGCACTAGGCGACACAGGCAAGGAACAACTTCCTTTAACAGGCAGAAACCTCGTCGCACAGCACTTTCCAAACAGAGCAGGTCAGACCTACTCTGAAGTTAATTACAGAAACCCAACAATTCCCACATCCCATATGATGCGTTTGGCCTAAATCAGACAGTTTGACATGTCTCAGAAACACAACGGTCACTGGTTGTCCTTTACAAACTCAGATAGGTATTCAAAACCCTTTTCAAATATGAAAAAATCTGTTGAAGTTATCCATTCATTACTTCAAAATATGAAGCTCGCTGGTTGTCCTTTACAAACTCAGATAGGTGTTCAAAACCCCGTTCAAAAATAGACGGATCTGTTGCCGTTATCTACTTATTACCTCAAAATATCAACCTCACTGGTTGTCCTTTAGAAACTCAGATAGGTGTTCAAAACTTTGTTAAAAAATAGACAGATCTGTTGCCGTTATCCGTTTATTACCTCAAAATATCAACCTCTCTTGTCCTCTCATTAGATTGTGAAATACCACAAACCCATCTGGGACCAACAGCCATGCCACTGACTTCTGTAGGTGAGCTTCATTTGCCATTTAGTTCAACGCAGTTTGACCCTGACAAAGACTTCTACATCTAAAAAAATGGAGTTGCTGTGTAAGAGGCTGTATGAAGTACACAGTAATTCAAAATGACAAAAAAGAAAGTCCAGGCCTGCAGCACTTCCTCAGTTAGAACATCCTTATCAATGAAACTGAAGCACTATCTGCAGGCAAATTTTTCCATCCTGTTCAAATGCAAAGAGAAACTACCCAAAATAAAGCACAGATATAGTCATCAACTCTTTAGGCTACAGCTATAAAACTCCTGGAATGAGAAGTCATCGTACATAGCTGAAAACCCATGTGGCTGTGAGGGCACAGAGCACACGTTTCTGTTTATACAGGACTGTCTCAGAAAATTAGAATATTGTGATAAAGTTCTTTATTTTCTGTAATGCAATTAAAAATCATGAAATGTCATACATTCTGGATTCATTACAA